TAGTAAATTATTAGACATTCAAAATAAATTAGTGTAAATTTTTTAAAATATGGGCTCAAGATAATGCACTTTCTGTACTTTATCTTCCTACTTTTATTTCCATTCTGGCTCAATATAAATGACTGCATACAAATTATAGACCAATTTCTGTAATGTTAAAAGTGTTTCAAAAGGTTAAGCCTTAAACTTAAATGTGACCTCGAAAAGCTAAAACAGGCTTCTAGTTAAAAAAATAAGCTTGTTAAAGATTATATCTAATGAATCTGGTTTACTAGATAATAATGCAGTTTAGTACTGAACAATTTGGAAGACAATTTTAAGTACATATATTTTGGATGAACTCGACATGGGTTCTGTGTTGGATATGGTTTATTGTAGTTGATCAGGTTTAGAAAAATCTTTGATAATTTTCAATGATCATCACCAAATTACTGTATGTATATTGTTGCTAAAGAACCATTTAACAGATTTTGAAAAATCCTTGTAGATGTTTTTTGAGTTTGAATCAGATGCTGCAGGTATAAGCACATTCTATAAAACTCTAGTAGATGATGTTCGTGAGCTTGATACAGTTATAGCAAATGTATTGTAGTTCATGTACTGTTTAATAGAGTTTAAAACTCTAGTAGATGATGTTCAGTGAGCTTGATACAGTTATAGCAAATGTATTGTAGTTCATGTACTGTTTAATAGAGTTTAAAAATCTAGTAGATAATTTTGGGTGAAAATGACCAGGTCAGCTATGAATTTGTAATGTAGCTTTAGTACTATTTACAGATTTTGAAGAATATTATATATATATATCTCACACTTTTTAAGAATTTTACTCTGATCATTATGTGTATAAGTTTCGTAAATTTTCACAAATTTTGGTATGAGATATTTATGTACATATAGTTTGGGTAAAATCAGAGATATGTATTAATATGGATATATTCAATCCATGAAACAACTGGCTTAATATTAAGTACTAGCTGTGACCCACAAAATATTTGCAATAGTTTTTATGCCCATTGCTTGAATTTTCCTTATTTTATCATTTTCACACAAACTATTTAAGCTACACTTTCTTGTAGGCATTATGTGTTACATCAGTAAATCCTGGTTTATTTGAAAATATTCTACTTAATCAGACAAACAAACTTACGTAGACATAACTTTACTTAATAAAACTACAATTATGTAACTTTATTTAGTAAAAGTAAACAATAAAGTAATGGTATTTATAGTGCACAGACTATGAAACAGTTATGAGCATTCAGTGTGTGACACAGTTTTATAAGTTGAAGCAAAGAAACTCACAAAAACAAATAATAAGACCCATACTAAAGGAAAAAGTAGCTAAAAGGTGTTTATAAACAAACCAAAGCTAAATTATTACAAAGTAAACATTAAGTTCTAATGAAATCAAACTTTGCCAAATATGCAGAAATATCTTAAGGCATGTTCACAAAGTGATAAGCATATGGTTTTAAACAAACTTCTCATGTGTATTTTAGACCTAAATATGTCAAGAAAGCCCATAGAAATTGTATTTAGGGTAATATTCATTTTTTAAGGAAATTACACATGGATTAAGTGTTGTTTGTGTGAAATATCTTGCAAATCAAAAAACTAAAGTTGAAATTGAAGCCAGTCGTCACTTGATGACAATGACAATGTGTAGTATATTCATTGCATTAAAAATTTTGACTAGGCAAAAAACAGGTAAGGTGATTTTTGAATGGAAAAACCGATATGCAATCCAATCAAGCTTGGAGTTCAGAAAATTCCTCAAAGCAACCTTCTACTCAACCAAGCACTCCTACTTAGATTACAACATGTACCTGGTGCCTGTGGTTATTAACATAATTGAAAGTATCCACATCAGGACACATAACAATTCAAGCCTAACTTTCTTACACTCATTACTGAGGGTATTGTCAGATCCTTTTGTCCTCCTGATGTTGTACTTAAGTTTCTTCACTCAATGTGCATTTACAGAAAGATGGGGGTGATATGTATAAAGTTTGGTGACCCCATGGATTTTGTAAAGCTATTAAGCCCACCCCATAGTATACTCTAACCTTACATTTCATAACTAACTAAAATTAATAAATTTTGCAAAATCAAGCTTGACCAACGGAGGCAGAAAAGTGCAGTCAAACATCGGTAAGTTCCTTTGTGAGCCCATTGGTAAAAATCAGTTAGATTAACAACTTCTAATATATAGAAAAAACAGTGTGTTTTGGTTACACAACATTCTAACAATGGCTTTTAAGTCGTGTTGCTTAGCAACAAAAGTATAACCTAATATCGTTGTTAGTCTATGTGCTGAAAATATAAAATGAAATGTATAGACAACAAAACTACAAAAATATTTGTTGATTTCTTAATTTAGTCTCTATTGATTAAAGAGGTTTGTTTTCTATTAAAAACGTTGGTGATATAACAGAAAATAGCTTAATTCAGAAATGATTTAAATTTAAAATTGAATCAATATTTTTACTTTCATGATAAATTTCATGCACTTGGCTCTAGGCTAGGTGCTCTCAACACTCACTACACTTACAAGGTTTCATGACCTCCTCCCCTCCCCCCACAGCCTCCTTGCACTCCTGCCACAGTAATCGAACTATTCTATTTGGATAAATGCATTGACTTTTATGACCCCTTCTATTTCGGGGAATTGAGTGTGACGTGACACACACTGGCTTTTATATAGGTTAGATTAAGTCTGTAAAATCCTTTCCATAACAAACCACGAAATCCAAAAATAATTCCAGTTTTAGGGCTTTCACTCTGTTAATGTAGAAAGAACAGTTTCCTTCCATACCACTTTTAATTGACAAATAAGAAACTATGAATTTACTTAAGGATGATTTTAGGAAGCAGTTTGTTTGCCATTCACAAAATAAACTATGCTGCTCCTGAAGACCATTAACCAGTGCTTCTGATGACAGCATTACAGGCACACAAGTAACACTTGTGTTAATAACATTTAATGTGTCAGGTGCAGGATGGAACAAGCAAAATGAAAGAAAGAAGAAATAGTAGGTGTGCTAAGTGAACCATGCCACTTTGTATAAAGGCTGTTTGCTTATTCTTAGATGCAGCTAAAATGTTGAGGGAACTAAGATTGACAAATAAAATCATAAGCCTGTGTATCACAGAAAGCTAAATTCAGAAAAATATTCCAAATGCCAATAAGCAAATATTCAGTAGCGTTAATAGTACAAGATGCATAATCAATATCCTATGCAGATGCTGCACAATAATAGTAAAAATACTGAGAAACATTCTTTTCCCATACCTAAGAATCCAATTAACAATGAAAAGGTACCAGGGAGAATTGTGGATTATTTTTTAATTTGTGAATTTTCAAATTTGGAATAACTACCAGGATATAAACTTATTTGACCATGGTAAGGTGTAATTAGTATATCAAATGGAGAACAAATTTCGAAAACAGGAACTTCTTTTTAACGCTATCGCTTTAATACAAGCTTAATGCTGTGATAAGATAAGCTGAATGCAATTCCTTACTTACAAAGAAGTACACACAAAATCTTCAAAAATACACATACACACACATATATATATAACAATAAATACAAACTACTGCATTATTACTCTCATGAAAAAATGATATATCATTCTTCATCAATAAATAAAGCCTACATATCACAATAATCTGGGGATCATAACTTTAGGCAGTATCAATTTTCATTTTTTGTTACCCACATAAGTTAATATAATTTTTTATCACACATACAAATTTTGAGGAAATACATTACTTGAAGTACCCCTAGAATATGATTGGCTTCACACAGCTTTGTGAAAAAAAGATGTAAAGGGAGTTTCTGAATTAAAACCTACATAACGTTTTAGCTTGTTTTAGTTATTCTTCTTTATGTACATAAATTTCAAACTGTTTTATCTAATTATAAGATTTCATTCACATCATTTTGTGAAACAGCTTTTTTTAATTTTTTAGTTGTGTAATGTCAACACACACACTGAATGAAGATCATGACAAATTTTAAAATGCCAATTTTATATTCTGTGCACCTACTAAATGTAAACGTTAAGACTTTTAGAATAAATAATTTCTGTATTTGACACACAACTATAATATAAGAAAATATGCAAAAAATTGTATTATTATGTAGGTTCATCACATATTTTCCAGAGTTTATAGCTGTTTTCCATCACCTTTAAAATGTGTGAAACCAATAATCAGATCTTTAATGTGTAGATCTTTACAAATGAGTAACATAATGAGTCAGTATTTATCCATGAGTAGATTAGATGGTTCCCACAAACTGTAACCAAAAATATTAAGAATTTGAACTGCCATACAAGTTATTTTCCAAGTTAACTATATATTTGGTCTGCATTTTAAACATGTTAATGGAAATTTATTTGCATACAATAAATAGTTACTGAAATATTTCATCAACATTATATAAAATATCAAAACCCAATATAGCATCTAATATGATTTGAGGTCACAGAAGTGAGTAACAAGTTTCAAGTTTATGATAGCTTATTTTACATAAATATGGCTGTCACAACTTGATGAGTACATTAGTCAAAGGCAAAGAAAAAAATATGAAGGGCTTCATTTAAATAGTTTTCTCTATTAACAAAATAGTTAAAATGCCAAAGTGTTCTACTTCAGAAGTGTATATGAAGAAGTTATTTAATAATAGTCTATTCTAATGTTTCAAAAAACAAAAACAATGTTCATCAATTTGCTTAACATAAAATATAACAATAAACACAATTTTTAATCACAACATTTCACTGTATCAGTTTTTTCACAGAATAGTTTTGTCATGCCAGCATAGTTTCCGTGATAGATCTGGTTAGCCTTAGTTATTTTTCCATGATTACCTTCTTTCATCTTGTGAACTTATTTGGTAAGGCATAATTAATCAGTGATTTCAATTCTATAATTTTAAAATGTTAGGGTGCTTGGAGATTTGATCTATTTCAGTTCATAACGTATATGTATATTCTGTACAGAAAGTTAAACTAGCCATATTTAAATAACCCAATTTCTGTCAGTTTTTAATACACATTTTACCCTCAAAATAGTTCTGATACAAAAATACTCTTGGTACTTTTTTCTTTTACAGATACATGCAAGTCTTCTTAATGTGTCTAAAGAAACATGGAAAATTATTTATCATCACTAACTCAGCTGGAATTTTCAAATAAATAAGCTTTGTTTGCACAATGTGTCTCATTTAAAAAGTTTAGATCTGTTTAATATGTAACAGAACACTTGATTAACATATTTGATATGATGTACATAAGCACACATTTAAAATGGAAAAGTATTTAATTAATATGCACATAAACTGAATGGAGTAATTAAAATAGTTTTGTCCTGTAAACTATTCTTCGCTGTTTTAATATCACAACCCATTAACACAACATTTAATAACTTTTAATATAAGATTTTTTGTTTATAAAGAATGATTTCCTAAAAAAAAACTTAAAATTAACTATAAAATACTGGAGTTGAGTGAGAAAGTTGAGGTTCCAGCATGTATGGCTCTCTCAGGTATTTGCCAATATACTGAAAATATTAAAAAATAAATCTCTTAGTGGAAATAATTTCAACAAATAATGAAATTCACAGTAGCACATACTTGACTTTTCAGTAATAATTTCCAGTTTCAGAGTTCAAACCTAAAGTCTTCTGTTTTTGTTTTTTGAAAGTTCATTTGAAAATTGAAAAGAATAAGTTATTTTTCAAATGGGGCCCCCCCAAGGGGGGGGGAGTCCATTTCACTTGTACACATAATATAATATTATACACTTTATAAAACTTACTCATCTTCTCCATTACATTGTCATAATACAATTTTAAGAACTTATGAGTGAAAACAAAGAAGAATATGCAACAACATGCCAACCACACTAGATGTTTCACATCCAATGCTGAATAAACCTTTTGCCCAATATCAGGCTCATCAGGTCAGCTGGAATATGACAAACACTATAGAGGATGAGGTTATTTATATTATCAATTTCATGAACAACAGACATTACAGTGTGAACCATATGACATAAGTGAATTGTAATTATTATCAATTTTATCTAAGTCATTTACAAATCAGGGATTGATAAAACATTGTTACCTATGTATTCATTTAACACTGATTATTTATTCATTATCATTTTATTTGAATTAACTTTACTATCAATCAGAAGAACTGGCTAACCATCAAACTAGTTTTCTTGTTCTAGCAGCAGGTTATGTCCTTTCTAACAAGTTCCCTGATGCAATTCTAGTAAATTTTGGGTTTGCTTAAATCTATACTTTGAATGTAATCATGGATCTAATACACTGGATAGTTTCTGGAAAACCGTAAAACAGAAGGGAAGGAGAGGGGAATTAAGACTCTGACATGGAATGTAAGAAGTAGGTCTCCAATACTCACAAGTCAAAGTTAACCACCATTTCCAAAAGTGTAAATTACCTTCCATATAAGAAATTTACCTGGTTCAGTTAAACTTGTAAGACTAAGTTATAAAATACAATACAGTATTTGTATATACCTGTAGCAACTGGCAAGGCTGTATGGTTCTTCCACCACCTACATATTTATACCCAAGATAACTTTGTGGTAGCCTTGTATATCAACATTTCAATCCTTTTACTTTAAAATTTCAATTTTTACCAACGTAAAATCAGTTGATAACATTGACAGCCTAAAGTGAGTAACGCGTGATCAATATATATATATATATATGCCTTTAAACTTGTGTCCCCCAAATTATTTCCGAGACTTGGATTTGGACAATATAACAAATAATTCATGTACCAAGTTTGATTACTGCAAAATGGTGACCTTAAAAACTTTGCTCTAACATCCTTGACTTTTAAATTCTTATTCTGTGGACACAACTAGTATTTCCTAAGTTTAGAGAACCTACACCTACTTACAGGCAAACAACAGGATACTGAATAATCTACCCAGCTTTCTCAGCTTCATACTGATTATACTGTCATAATAATCCTACAAAATGTTATAAAACAGCATTTTATGACTTGAATAGCTTTTACAGGTGCAAACCTACTTTTGAGATAAAAGTTTAATTATGTTTTCTTTATCAATTTACTAAAAATGTACAAATATTCTTATGATGCAGAAAAATGTATTACTAGTAAATCCAAACTGCTTTTATTTAAAACTAAATAGTTCAAATTTCACATATCTATACTTACAGATACTGTAACTAACTGCTTCCATCCTAAAACCACCAAAAAAATTCCAACCTAAAGGAAAAACCAGGAGTAAACCTTACTTTCTGTTGTATTAACTAATAGTGTAATATCACAGTTATAAAAGATTTCTAAGATTGAAAATGTATTTCCATTAGGTACTTACCTCCTCTCACCCAAAGCTATCTCGATCAAGGTCTTTCCTCTAAGCATTCCTAACAAAACATTTTGTTAAAGCACACAAGTCTTTATACCACATCAGTTTTGCACCATTTTAGAACATGAGCTAATCATGTGATTACCCTCCACCAATCATAATGCACCATCTATACTAGCACAACTAGCTCCCTCTACTATTCTAGAACAATCTTCACTTTTGAGAATTGGCAGGTGCAAACCAGAAACACTGAAATATCAGTGGGGAGGAAAGGAGGTAAATAACTACTGGAAATACATTTTCAGTGTAAGAAATTGTTAACTTCTGAAACATTCTTACCTCCATCAAAGAGCATCAATATCCAATTAAGTGAAAAGCAACCACACTGAAAGAACAGGTGTGTAAGAATATATAAGGAAAGCACACCTGTTTGTTATAGCACTACTTCTGGAATAGTCAGAATATGCCAGTCGTACGAGTTGACAAACCCAACCAGTGAGTGCAATAGAGGACAGGACACAGATGGAATCTTTGGAACAAATTGATGGGAATGATAACCTGAAAGGAGGCAGTATGAATCAGACAAAGAAGTCTATCCAGAACTGAAGAGATAGCAGATGTCTAGGGAAGGAAGATGCAATCAGGATAGAAGATAACATAAGAAGAATGGTAAAGGACACGGGGAAACATCAATAACATAAATATTGGAACGATGATAACTGCAAACAAGGAGGAGGAGAAAGAAGACTTAAGGAAAGAATGGTATAAGGAATATGTAGAAATGGGTTTAAATTGAGAACTGTACAGGGCATGAAGAACAAAAATGAGATCCAATATGACAAAACAAAGGGATGTGGAGGATGGACAAGATGACAGGGATGGAAAAGCATGGAAATAACATGGGAGGAAGAAGCTTTCCATAAACGGGAGAATTGGAAGGTGTGGTCGACAGGTCAGCCCAATAACTAGAAACAGTTGACACAAACAAGCCCTGATCAAACAGCCAAGAGAAGAACTGAGAAAGATAAAATACAGATAGACAGGAGAGGTGGAAGCCATGTAGAATGAATCAGAGACCAAAATGAAGGAGTTTTGAAGTTACAGTGAGTGGCAAACACACTTTATGCAGTGTTCCCAGTTGAGAACACACCCACCAAAATACCCATGAAAAAAGAGACCACTCCATGGGGAGAACCTGGTTGAGTGAAGATAAGCGATCGGCCACCAAATACATAACGCTGGGAACATGACATGCCAAGACCACCATGTAGTGGTCATGGGCCCAGTAAGGAGAATAAAGTCTGAAAATACAAAGAACTGGATTTGGTTCACCCTTGCGTTAGTGATATAGCTGACAACAGTACAATAATTGGAGCAGGAGGAAATGATACAGAACCACATGAACAGCCAAAAGTCCCAGGATGTTAAAAACATAGAGTAGCCTCCTCGATGGAGCATTTGGAATATGAAGATAAGCAACTGTCATGATTTGGTCATCCAAAGTCCCAGAAAACATGGAGAGCGAATTAAAACATACATCTATAAACTAGAATGCCAATCAAGAAAGTAAAGATTGTTCTAAAATAGTAGAGTGAGCTAGCTGCACTAGTATAGATAGCACAGTATGATTGGTGGAAAGTAGTCACATGATGAGCACGTATTGAAATGGCACAACTGATGGGGCATAAAGACTGGTGTGCTGTAGCAAAATTTTTTTTTAGCAATGCTTAGAGGGCAGACCAGGATCAAGATAGCTTTGGGTGAAAGGAGGTAAGACCGTTTCAGAACTTGTGTTATAAAATCAAACATGAAAGAGCTTTACCAAAAGTATGTCTAATTTTACTGTGTCCATATTTTTATGCACAGTTATGAATAATGTTAACAGGAATAATCCCAAGTCTAAAAGGATAAAACTTCTGATGAAGAGATATAGTTTCTAATCAAGGCTAAAATTTAACCTATGATGAACTAATACAACTCTTCTGATCAGTTCTAAAACATGAATTACAATAATTAATTTGGCATAATGTTATTTCAACAAAGTCATGCCATTAGAGTTACAATAGACTGATATATTTTACAGAATCATATGTACAAAGTTACTTAACTAAAGTTCCACTGAATGGCATTCCCTACCATTAAGCTAGCTTGGCAGATGAGTCTGTACAGCTCAAATTGCAGTTGTAAGGTATTCATAATGAAACTTATTTATTTATTTATACTATTTACTATTGGGGTCACCTGTGAATGTTACAGAGAAAATTAGTGATTTGCTCAATTTTATTAGGTCATTTTTGATAATGAGTGCAAAAATGTAAAAAACATAAAATTACTCACTATGATACAATGTTTATATCTTACATGTAGTGAATTGTACAAAAATAAGTTGGTAATTTGAGGGTTAAAGCTAATATTTAGATATAAAAAAGTCCAAATTTAAAAATAGTAATTCATTATATCAATACCTCGACTTATGCTTTTATCAGGATGCACTCTACAAATCCAAAGCAACTGATAATGTGAGGGAGCAACTGTTCTTGAATTTGTGTGTAGACTGTACATCATGATGAAGGTATAAGTTGAAATATTGATGCAATATATTATTTATAAAAACTTGGAACTGGTCATTTTTCATCCAGAATATAAAAATTATCATTACAAGAGTTGAAAGACAAAAAAATACTCCACTTTTTGTTCTTAGAAACTAATACTTGTTAGTTATAGAACACGTTACAAGTACATTTAGTGTTTTTAGTAAGTAATACTTACCTGTTAAAGAACACCTTATAACTATGTTATTTGTATGTAAAAACTAACACCTTCTAGACACAGAACACATTAATTAATTGTTTTTAGAAAGTAACATGTATCAGGTAATCACTTTATAATAATACTAGCTGTTTAGAAAAAATCTAATACTAGCCACATACAGAACAATTACCACAATGTTAGTCTTTTAAAAAGCTAATATTTAGCAGGTATAAGAAGTAAAAAAACAACGTTAAATGTTTCAAAATACTAATACCAGTTATAGAACACTTACCACAATGTCAGATGGTTTAAAAAGATAATACTTACTAGGCATAAAACACTTACCACAATGTTAGTTGTTTTAAAAAAAACAAATACTTATCAGGTATAGAGCACTTGCAACAATAGTAGTTGTTTTCAAAACTACTACCAGATATAGAACCCTTCAAGAATGGTGGTTACTGATTTCAAAATTTAATATGCGATGCATATCCCTTTACAACATTTTTAAAATCTAATACTTGTCACCTAGAAAACACCTTAATATATCTAGATAAATTGTCATTTTTGTACACTGCATGTAATACTTACAAGATATAATACAAACAGGACGTAAAGGAACATAAAAATTGCTATTCCTACATATACAGCCCAGTGATGTGGTAGAGCACTCTGTGTAAAGTTGAAGACGAAGTAAAGGTTAATGCCAACAACCATAACAGACAGGACACTTGCAATAACCTTGTTTATCCTGGAGAGAAAAAAGGAAACTATCAGTTTCATAAAACAAACAATAAAAATACAAAATGTCTAGCCAGATGAAGAGCTTTGAATTTTTAAACAATAAATAATTTTCACATATAATTCTTATTTTTACTTTCATAATAAATTTTATGCACTTGACTCTAGGCTTGGTGTGGGATCACCACATCTTTACTTTAGGCTTATTATACCAACACTCACTACACTTATAAGGTTTCATGGCACCCACCCCTCACAGTCCCCTTGCAACCCCTCACTAAAATCATAATGGGCAGGCAGTAATCAAACTATTCTGTCCGGATAAATTCATTTTGGCTTTTATGACTCCTCTTGTTTCAAGAAATAAAGCGTGATGTGACACACACACTGGCTTTTATATAGGTTAGATAGATGAAGTATTAGTATTACAATACATAAAGATAAAAGATCAAAGTACTTTCTGATATGCTATAAAATATATCTCACTACACTTATCCAATCATATCAGGGTGTGTAATAATATGATTTGAATGCTTGTTTTACATTCAAATAATACTTTAATTTAACACATAACACAATGAACAAGTTATATACAATTTACAGTGCACAGGAATAGATGTAACATATACCATTCAAATCTGCAATAACATACATGTAATCCAGTTTACTCAGTTACATAACACCGAAAGATGTCTACACTGTGTGTTTGTTAAAATTTTCCAATACTGCTAAGCAGTAATTCTTCGATATCTAATTCAAACAAAGTTAAATTGTTCTCCATTCATGTTTTCTTAAAATATTATTTAGCTTGTCATAGGCAATTTATTTTATTTTAAAATGCAATATTAAAATACTCTTTTAAGCTGATGTAAATTTTTGACCAAACTTTTTATAATCCTAATTAGAATTTTAAATCTTACATATTAACATGCAACTATTAAGAATCATGTCAAGTGCACTTTCACTATTCAAAATTTTAAAATGTTCATATTTTGATATTTAGTAAAATATTGCATCATAATATCTTTAAAAATTGAGTAACTTTAAAGTTTTGTAAAATAGAATATGCTCATCAACACAACTGTGAAAAAAAGAGTTTACCTTCTAAAAAACTAAATATCAGCACTCCTATGTAAAATACATATTAGCGCTTCTGCGACAGGTTCGGTATAAAATACACAAGTTTGTATACACATTTGCACACGTTAAGTATTATACTATAACCTTTGATGCTGTATGTGTATCTTCATAAAATTTGGTAGACTTTTGGTAATGATTCCACGTCTTTTGTACACAAAAAATCAGATTTTTTTAATGAATTATTTTTACTAAAAATGTGTTTATGAAAATATCAAGTCTGTTTCATTACTAGTCCAAGTGAAAAGTGATTTTCATGTCATGATTAACAAAGTATTTTTCTTCCCAAAAATCTCAAATGTTATTTGTGTAACCTCTAAAACCTTCTATATACATTTTAAATGTATGTTTCAATAAAACTTATATTTTGTCAGTTATTTTCTCTACCCTAACAATATGGGGTCTGTCAATTTGACAGACCTTGTAACCACCATAACAAATTAGGAAATCTATATAAATTATGCTTTTTTCATTCTAAAATGACTAGAAATTATAAAACAAAAACACAAATGTTTAGTTTAAATATCTGAAATCTCATAACATTACAGATTTATATATATATTTATTTTTATCATATTGATCTTCCAATCATGCCTCGCTAACAATACAGAAGTTACAATGATGTTGTACACGTACACTCATGTTACCATATCCAATAATATAAAACTGACCTTTAGACTTTACAAAGTGACCTGTCTTGGCTGTGTTTTAGTGGACTAGTATTTTGTAAAATACAGTCACATTTCAATTATTATGCATTATACATGTATATAGATTATTACTATTTACAAACAAGTTCTGAAACTTATTTTTCTTAAAACATACAACAGTAAATGAAGAAGTATAGCAAACAGTTATCTCTTCTTGTTACAACCTTTGTACTTGGTTGCTGCTTGCCATAGGTTGCTAGGCCTTATCATATTTCACACTCGGAGGATGTGAAACAAAATAATTTTTTAGGTTTTATATATACATTTGAATAACCAAATATAAGTTACTATATCAATACCATAGAATTTTGTATAATTTATCAAGTTTAGAAACTAAGCTGTATTTTGGTCTAAAAAAATATGAAATTTCAAGCAGAATAAAGACACAACCTACCTCCTTGAAATCTTGTTTCAAAAGAACGAGATGGCATCCTAATACACGAAAATGATTGAGAAAGCCACTAGGGGAACATTCTGAGCTTTTGATTGGTTATTCACGTTATATACACAAGTAACTGTATATACGAGACTGTTTCCAAAAATGAAAAGAGGTAAGCGGGGCCACTGTGTTTGATTCAGTACATGGGTGATATCTCGGCAAATAGAAAAGATAAGAGTTTCTTATTTTATATTATAACTTGTTAGTATCAGTAATTTGAGTTCCTAATTCCTAAAAAACTACAGACTTCATATATTGACATCACAAACATCTAATTCGAACCAATGTTGTATTCAACATTCCACCTAACACACAGAAATTGATGTTTAAGAAAGTTTTTTTTAATATTTACTTTTAAATTAAGAAATTAAATAATGTATAATACTAAAATTTGAATTATAATCTACAGTTTGATACCAAACGTATTGATATAAATTAATGAAATAGTAGTTCAATAAAATGTTGAATGCGAGTCAACAAACCCAATGACACGGCCTTGGACCTGTAACCCATAGCAATAGTGTTAGCTGGTACAATTACTTTCTCATAATATTCCTCTAAATAATGTTCTTATAATAAAAAATCCTAAGCATTTTTGTTTTTACCAATAAGCTTGTATAGACACACATTTTATGCATTTTGTGCACTAAAGGTTTTAACTGAACATTCTTAAACAAGCATTTAGAAAGCTTCAGATTCCCTCATGCACTACGTATGACTACTGGTAGTTATCAAGGATACATGATAGTATTATGGAAGTCTGAATTGTTAAAAAGTGGTTTGCTAGCAAATACTAAGGGGGTTAATCTTTTAGCTCAGATGGTAGAGTGGGAGGTCACTGGTTTGAATCTGAGCCAAGGAAATAATTAAAAAAGTTAAATTACCACAGTATTTCATGCATTAAATAACTTTTTTTTTTTTATTTATTTACTTTCATACTGACAGGCCATTTGAAAAGTTATACAAATTCTTATACAAAGTGCTGAAGTTCCAAACTAAGTAATCTTAGTGTTTAGTCAGCTACTTTAAATCTGTAAATACAGACACTTGTTTTCAGTAACCATATTACACATTTGTCAAAAAACAACTATTTTAGAATATTTATGCATTTACCATAACTGAACAGGAACATCTGTTTGTAATTATTCAATTAAAATACATGTTAAATTTAACATAATGTGTGTGTAAGGAATCAACCCCAACAGTAAAATTCATACAGTAAGGTAATGAACTTTGAGTCATAATAATGGTTCACTGGATCATATTTTTGTTTTATATAAGTATGTTGTTAAAAGAGTATGAAAATCACTACATATTTTGCTTAGCTTACTAGGTCAAACGAAAATTCAAAATAACTGGTAAACAATGTTTTTTTTAAATGATTTGAAGAATAAATACCACTATCTCATTCATAAGTCATGAAGTTTGACACTGCATATAAGATAAAACAAAACTAAAATAAAAGCATACACTCCATTCCGAAAATCTCCCATAATGGCTACAGATGAGGAAAATGTTAGTGTTGGAAGAAGGGCAAATGGAAGCTGAAGACTCATAAGAGCATTAAGTAGGTCATTCATTCCTGTCAAGTCATCAATATTACTAAAGATAGCAACCAATATGGTGGGACAAATGGCGATTGTTCGAGTTAGTAAAACTCTCTTCCAGCGAGTCCAATGAAGATCGAGAAAACCCTGTCGTGAAGATAAGATACCTTAAACATTTGTTCAAAATGGTGTGATAAATCTCAGCAAGTAATCACCTTTGTTTTTTTGAAAATTTGTAATGCATAATTTAAACCACTTTCAGAAAAACCTCAATCTAAAAAATGGTTTTAGAAATTTGTATAGCAAAGGTTACCTACTTTTAATAAGTATGGTGTTGAAAACCTATAACAACATTAGTCTACTCTGAATTCAGGCTGAAATACTGATGTTAGCAATTTGCAGTGGTTGAAGAACATCTTCAGATATACAAATACATTTTGTCAAGAACATCCTCAGATACATAAGTACATGTTACAAGGACATTATCAAATACAAGTTACAAGAGCACACCAGATACACAATTATATGCTACACAGACATCACCAGATTCATAATTACATGTTACAAAAGCATCTTTAGATACAGAAGTACATGTTACAAGGACATCATGAGATGTACAAGATACAAGAAAACCATCAGATCTACAAGTATGTGTTACAAAAAATTCAAAGATCTGAAAGCTTTTACGACAGAAAATGCAAAAACTCCATTATAAGTGACTGCAATGCAATAAATGTATTTCAGTTTGGGCTCTTATATAACTTAATAATAAGTTCATACTGTATAGTTACAGGTAAAGAAGAAAGTCTGCAATGAATAAACAAGAGAAAATTAGTTTCTGAATAAAAGTTGTCTAATTATTAAAAGTAACAACTCCATCTTTCATGTAAGAGTTAAATTTATTTAAATGATATCTAAAGAATTTCAAAATACTTGAACCTTAGCTATCATCATACAAAATTTTTAAAGCAATTCATTAAATTTTCAAGTGCTTTTGTACTTAAACAATAATGGAATATATTTCATTTGAAAGATAAGTCAGTTTCTTTATTGCTTTAAAACTAGACAACCTGTAGAACATTAATTCTCAATATGTGGCCCACAGGCTCCCTTCAAGTGGTCTGTAGAACGATTGCATAATTATGAAAAGAAAGTGGCAGCATAGTGTACAGATCCCATTGTGATTTACCAAGAGAAAAAAAGAAATTTAGTGTGTGTGTGCTAAAAAAAGTTTGAGAACCAATACTACAGAGAATTATCAGACATCCAAGTGCCACGTTTGTATCTGAAGAGAGACGTGGAGAAAAACGTTTCTAAAAAATATAGGAGAAAACACATTAGTTAATGATTCATATTCTTTTTCCATGTGATGACTTTTTGTAATTAATACATCAAACAGAATTGTTTGCTGAAAGTGATGAACCATGTTATGGTCATGGCCAGAGTAGTTATTACATAGTAATTATCACAAAAAATTCATTTTAATGAAAATCAGAATTTCCAATACTTTAAAGATATATCTTTACTTATACAATTTTATCTTCTATGTGTCCCTTTTTTTTTATTATGGAAGCCAAAAGAGTCTGTAACTGAGCTCAAAAATCAATGGTAATTAAATACTATCTATATGAATACTTACTTCCATAACAAACTGACCAGCATAAGTACCAGTCATAGTAGAGCTCTGTCCAGCTGCTAGAATACCAACTGCCCAAATGTACATGGCTGCAACCCCAAACTGACACCCTAGGAACACTCCCTGAAGAAGAACATGTCTACCTCTATAGTTTTAAAATTTTGTACTTAAAACAAAATAAATAGTAGAAAACCTTGTGTGTTTTAAAGGTGAAATGTACAGCAGTGGAAATAAATAAGGCAACAGGGAAAGTGGTGTTGATGGCTACACTTATATACAGTCAGTAAGCTTATGTGGCATGCTGATTGGTTGAATGTCAACCAGTCACAGAGTATCAAATCAACATGTCTGTGCCACCCTATTGTGAACAACTGTATCATCCATAGAGTGGCTGGCACACGATGTACATGATTTGTATTGATTTTTGTTTATAACTTCCATATTTATTTCCACTGTAAATATAAATTGAAAACTAAGTAATTTTAGAAAAACTTGTTTGTTTTACAGATAGAACATACACAAAATGGAACAGAAGCAATTCAATTGTTTAAATATAAGCCTTTTGAAGGTTTCATTTAATCATAATTTATATCTTTTACATAACAATACATGAGTATGATTTGTTTACAATGATTTATGATAAACTGTTCATTTAAAAGTAGAAAAGCAACATTTAAAAACAAGCATTTTCAATTCTAAGTACACATGTGTAAAGATTACCTTCATGGAACTTATTTTCAATCTTCCCCTATGCAGACATAAAATTTCTCTTGTGAATCTTTCAGTAAAATCAATCCATTCATTTTATCATGATTGTTTTTACTGTTGCTTATATTTTCATGGCCATTCTACTGAATCCAGAAATATTATACCATTTTGAAGAAAGAAATATACATCATCAAAATATGATACAAATATCTCGTGTTTATTTTCTTAATAAAAATCCAAAAAACTGAATACACAAAAGCCATAATTTTTACCAAAATAAAGCAAAAAAAAAAAGATTCAACTACCTACATGTACAAGCATAAAATTGGAGATTTTTGTGACATTACTTCACATTAAGATCATAACAAATCTTATTTTACTGGCCCTATATGGATTCCTAACCAACCTGTTGAGCTCTAGTATGGAGCAAAAGGCCTCATCTGCAGCAGCATAAGGTTGAGATGGTATTATATTCTTCTTACTGGAAACCTACATAGGGCCAAGTAAAGAAAGATTTGTTGGAAATTATTATTAGTCTTACAGATACCACACAAAACACCCATCTATTGATCATACCTCACCAGCATAAGGGTTTATGCACCATAATGAAGCACAAAGTTGCTCTGAAAAAATTTTAGTAAGCGACTTCTAGAAATCATGCTTTAAAATAGATCCATGTAAAAACTCACCCCTTTATAGATGTCAGCTTCAACATTATTTGTATTATTCTGAAATATATAAAAAGTTTAATTTATCAGCCAAGTAATGTTACAATCTATCAAACCTGCACAATTTAAGACAGTGATAAAACATCGCCTAGTTTAGAATACCAAAATATGTTTAGTTTTTGAAGAAACTATGCAACATTCCTTCAATTTTTATTTTATAATAAAACATTATGATAGTAATACAACAGTTGTTACAAACTCACTCTTTTATTTTTCAATTTATTTTGTTATACTCCTTACGTTTTGTTTCGTTCCTTCATTTTTATCTTATAAAACCACACATCAAATCATGCAAACTATTTAAAAAGTAGTTTAGAATTCTAATAACCTAATTTGTATATGTACTTCAAATATTTTTCTAAAATACAGATTAAATCTACCCTAATGAAAACATATCTCTCAAGTTAGTAGGTCATAAGAATGTAAGTTAAAAACTACAGATGAGACCTCTAGATGATCATATCTTCTCTACATTATGTAAATAATAAATAGCATCTGATATAAAGATAGTTTGTAAAGTAGTGAGAGCTCATTATCACAAACATTAATACCTGTGGTAAGAAAACTAGTTGAAAGAGACGAAACTCATATTTTAGAAATTTTTAAAAAGAACAAAATGTTTTAGCTTCCCTTTGAGATATTTGCAGGTTATAATATGTAGTGGGACTCAGTGTATATGATTACTTGATTACTACAGAAATGAGCAATTAAAAAATTATACTGAAGTATATTTTATTCTAGTTGGAATACACATTACCTGGATGGAAATTATGTAAATTCATAATCAATAAAAGGTTATCTTAGGACATGAAAAGTTGCTTCCCTTATATGTA